GGAAGGGAAGCGAAAAATCTACCGTCATATCATGATTGTGTCCCTTCTACTGTATGAAACACCATTGTGTTGCATACGCGTCACTTCCACGAGGTGTTGGTGTCACAGGAGGAAGGGACCATAGCGGAGGATAGAAAGCTTGCGCAGGAAAGGAAGGTCCCGGCGGTTGACGGGGGACTAATCTGGTAAAAGGATAAAGGAAAAGCATTTGCCGTTGATCAATCCCTTTTGGGATGCGGCACGCATTCTACTTCCATTTGTACATTCGTAGTGGCGTTTGAATGCGATGTGGCCTATACAATGACTTGCGGGGGCCAGCCGTCAGTGTTTTTATCCTCCCAGACAAGTCTGGTACCAATTAACCGACCCCGGAGGGATGGAAGGCTTGGTTGGCCCGGGCGACTCACGACCCAGGATTTGATCCCGGGACCGCTCGCGTGGTAAGCGTGCCACTTGCCACTACACCACTTCCCGCCTATTTTCATATGATAACCTATCGATAGGAAACATCCTATAACCAGCTTGCAACTTCATTTCTAGTTAGTAGATCTTACATTAAAATCTCTCAGTTATTTAATGAGAAAGAAGTCAGGCTTGTTCGGACTCGCCTTTTTGGTCGACTATTTGATTTCTATTGTATTGCTTTGTTCATGGAACGTAACAAACATTCGTGAGTGGAGCATCTTACTTAAAGCAAGTAATTATCAGCAAATACACAAGTTAAAGCCACACCAAGTGACTTATCCTGGTGGAATATCGTTAATTGGGATTTTAGGAATATGGTGGGGTGGTAATTTTGGGCAAACTGTGTCATTAGTTTTTGAAAGTAGCGGCCAGTGTAAAGGCAGGTGATTAGGGGGGGGGGGGGGGGGGGGGGGGGCAGGTGATCTTGAAGGCCATGCCCTTTCTTCTTTTCATTCATTTTCTTACGTAGTTAGCAGTTCGTGACCGTCTGAGTTCCGCAATTCTCCATATCTTTGAACTGTTTTCAGCGTGATCGCAATATACGGGGCATCTTCTGGGAAATAGCCTAGGAGGGGGCAGGAACTTAAAGAAATGCGAACTGGCTCATGCGCCCTGAGATTTATCCTCCCCTGTTTGAGGCTCTGTCTCGTTTTTGAGCAAGGAAATGTATTACACGGTTTCAAAAGCATGGTCACTACAATGCCCCGTATTTGTGATAGCGCTCAGTTTTTATTTATATTATATTTTGTGGCGTATTTTTGACTTCCTAAGACATCTACTCTGGTTCGCAACTCCTTCTACCCTCTGACCTAGCTCGGCTAGGAATTCCGTAACCCCGGTCATGGACCAACTGCAGCTCGTTGAAAGCGCGGAAGGTACTTCCGTCTCCGGCGCCACAGTTCTATTGTAGGGAAATGGTAATTCGGAAATTTGCATTGAACGCAAAATTCTGTGCAAAAAATCGATTAGCCCTGTATAAAATCTCTGAAGTCAAGACCCATCGATTACCTGACTGCCTGCGCTGTTCTTTTCAACTGGTCCGTTATCATTTCTCACATGGTCAACAAACCCAACGGTGCTCTGAAGAAAAGTCGACTGTGTTCGAAGAAGAGCCTTCGTGAAAAGCGAAGGGTGGGTTTAGTTCGAAACAAATGAATGAGCTAATTAAGTTCCATTTATTTGAATGATGCCGTAATATGTAATTTTTGTAATAGCTACTAAGTAGCGATTACTCATCGCCTCATTGGTCGAGCATGACTTTATTCATTAGGCCGCGTTCATAGTTCGCGACTCCGGAGATTAGGATAGTACGCGACAATGAAAAACATATGTATTGACGGGGAGATTAGGATAGTAGTAGAGTAGGAGATTGCGCTGACAAGATTAGATACGTATCGATTGAAATCGCTGGAGAGTAGTAGATTGCGATATTACGATAGTAGGATAGTAGTAGAGTAGGAGATTAGGATAGTAGTAGATTAGGATAGTGCGCTGACAAGATTAGATATGTATTGATCTATTCGCTTGAAGTCGCCCAATCTACTACTCTCCAGCGATTTCAATCGATACGTATCCAATCTTGTCAGCGCAATCTCCTACTCTACTACTACCTACCATCCTAATCTCCCGAGTCGCGAACTATAAACGCGGCCAGCATTTATTTTTTTTTGGAGTAACACAGGCAGCGGAGCAGTAGTAAGTACCTCACGTATAGCCTGTAGAACGGTCTTGATTCTAATTCCGCTCTGATCAGCCAAGTCTTCACTCATCCGCAATTTTCTAAGTGGTACAAGACCTATCATTCCCCGCATTTAAATTGGTATTAAGCCCGTTTCTGAGCGTGACAACAATAATTTGTTCAGCAGATCGCACTTTTATTTCGTTCTTTCTGACAATACTCATTCACGTGTCATGACCGTAAGAGGTAGGAGTAGAAAGCGTGGCGTATCCTGAAAAGGGGTGGGTTAACACCGACCCATTTCCTTCTATGAGGAAGTCATTACGAAATGACGGCACTTGAAGGTGGACGGCACAATAAATTGAGTGTAGAAGAAGCGAGGGTATGCCTACTTTGAAGGGAGCTCAGGGTCCCGAGCGAAGCAAGAAGAGGGCCGTATTGCGTTGAACGGCGCGTCCATCGCAAAGTAGGAACCCTAGATGGGCTTAGGCTGGGAATCAGCATGAAGGATGAGCCTCTAAATAGCAGGGATCCGCTTGGCCCTTGTTGTTTGGAGGCGTGACTTACTAGAGGTCGTCGGCTCGCAAGGGAGGTTTTTAACGGCAAGCCACGCTTTTTCAAAGCGGTCTCTCGCATATTGTAGGGACGCATGTAGGGAAAACAAAAAACATGTTTCATTTTCGCTGAACGGTTATAGCAGTACCAAAAAAAGCATAAGGTACTGTTAAGGGTTCGATCCCCCGTGGCGACTAAATTTTGCATTTGGGTTGGCGCCTACGGTTTGGTGCCAAATCGCGCTAAATATCAAAATCAGATGTCAAATTCATCGTCAGGACCATTTTGAAGCCAACAAGTGGCCGCCAACCTTGATTGCAAAATTTAGTCGCCGCGGGGATCGAACCATCAGGGTATCATTCACCACTTTTTTGATACTACTAAAACCGTTCAGCGAAAACGAAACATGGTTTTGTGGTCCATACATGCGTCCCTACAATATGCAAGAAACCATTTCCAAAAGCGCGGCTTGCCCTGAAAGACCTCCTTGTTAGACGAGAGGCCACGATTAGGGACAAGGATCCGTCGATTAAGCGACGTAGGCCCTGCCCTTACCACTAACCCTATCCAAGGTTACGCATCAAGGGAATACTTTTCAGTCGGGATTATTTCCCTCAATGACTATTCAGTTTGGACAAGGTCCGTTCTGGGAAAAAGAATCTTGAGCCGGGGTCAGTCTTCTCTTGTGAATTCCCAACGATGGGGTCATATCTGTGACTTTGGGGTGACGATTGCACGCGGTAGAAGGAACACCGTTTGACTGTGGAGACGAATATCCCGAGCAGGAGCAGCTAGCACAAGTGGATCCGTAGAAGGCACGTCGTGATCAATAAATGCTGGGAGAGCAGGGTCAACCGTCACGTTGGACCGATTTCGAAAATTTTACGACCCCCTCCCCTTCTAGAGGGCCTCGATACGACCCCCCTCAGGGTCAACCCTTCACCACCCTCGCCTGTCATCGCCATCATGGGGCTCATTCTATAGTATTCGATTCTGAGACCAGTCGACACAGCCCAAACTCCGCCCACTTTTTTCCTCCAAAATTACCGTCGAGCGGGAATAACTTCCCGGCTATTTCACCAACATTTCCACTGCAACATTTCCTAAGGAGGCTTATACACACCGTGAAACAAAATTTTAGCGCGCCAACCAACTGCATCATCACTTCCCTTACTGTAACATTAACGCTACCTCGCGAAATACGACCCCCCCCCTTTTTTCCACCCAAATACGACCCCCCACCCCTCGTTGGACTTTGTCCAACGCACGGTTGACTCTGCTGAGGAGCCGTCTTCTTCACTCGAGGAGGGGCCACCTCTTGTCGCCTAATCCCGACTCATGACTTTGTTTGATTAGGAAGGCCGGAGTTTGTCTTCAGCTTCCTTTCCAGAATGTTGCTGACCATGGATCTGCTCAAAGCAAGGGTTGCCGCTCCCTGAACCTGAACATTAGCCAGCCCCTAAAATCATAGCATAGCTACGGCGATTCTGTATAGCAATCATAAATGTGTTGCATTCAAAAAGAGCCGTAAAGGTGGTTGAACGGCATCGGAGAACACTCGTATGCCCTCTAAGAGAAGACATCAGTGCAATCTCTTGAAAATCACGTGCATCGTGCCATATCAAGATGGAAATAGTGTGGTTTGGCGATTCTCCAATCGATAGTGCTCTCTCGACAAAACGGGTTTCGATCGCTGAAAACAGTGTTGATATCGGTGCAAAGGACCATTTCACACCCTAGTTAGTTTTGTTTTTGTTGCCTTCTCGATGGTCGTGAAACAACCACAAATTCAAGATCACGCACCTGCAGTGGACGACGTGACGGTCAGTTCGCAAAGTTCGTGTTACCTTTTAGTTCTTCTAAATATCTCTTTTATCGGAATATACAGTACCTGCTGCGCTATCACAGGATACGGGTGCATTGCGCATTTGAATCCGCGTTTAGTATCCCCTTTCCGTTAAAAGCGGGACCAACTAAGACTTAGACGAGAGAAGAGAGACACCAGAGTGCGCGAGCGATTTTGGCTTTCCCGAGTGTTCCTGCCCCTCCTCGGCTTAGCGTCGGTTCTTGCGATGGCGCCCTTGCTTTTAAGTCTTATTCATTTATCTGAACAATGCTTGCTATCAGCTCTTTTCGAGGCCTGTAGAATCGCCGAATTCCTCTTTGGATGCGCCATGCATTTGACCCTCGCGCAGATTCGCGCAAGCGGTTCTATGCGTGATCCTTTGCAACGCACCAGCCTGAATGGTGTTAAAAGCAGCCCTGGAAGCAAACCAGGGCCTTTCTTCTTTCTTAAATCGTTGAAAGGGATCGGTCTCCTTCTTGCTCAAATAGACGTGAGAATGCTTCTCAGGTCTCCAGCGGTTTCGATGACATGGCCTATCCCAGGCACTGATCACGACCCGACTTTTTGTCCAATACCTTCAGAAGTCATTAACTGCAAAAGAAGCAAAAGTAGAAGGGTTGGTGTGCTCGAGGTGTCTATGCAGTGGCTATGATGCTTATCTCTTTTTTTTCTGCAATTTGGCTCTCTCTCTGGGTCCCTGGGACTAAATCTGAGCAAGGGGGAGGGAAGGGGCCTTATGGTTAGAGCGATCGAAGTTGCTTACGCCCTACGGATATCGTCAGCCCTTTAAGGCTTGATACTGTCGATCCTAACAGCATTTCGTGACGTCACTGCACACTGCGCACCTACCGTTATCCCAACTCGAGCATACCATCCCGACTAGTTTCCCATCAATCACAGCAACACTTTTTATAAGATTTCCAGTGAAAAACATGTTTTGTAAGCGTTATATTTAGGACAGCTGAGCGTTCGAAGCGGTCAAACCGGTCGATAATAATAAATTACT